GAGAGAGAGCTCGACAGGGTCGAGCTTGCACGGAGAGGCAGGAGAGGGCTACAAGTGGTAAAGCTTTCCCGTAAAGCAGGCAGCCGGATAGATCAGCCAGTTGCCCGGGCACGGATCTCGCTGTCCGATCGGTCTTCGGCATCTGTCTGCTTCTGTTCGTTGGCCTCTCTTCTTCTCTTTCTCTCTTTCGTCTCTTCTCCTGCTTTACCTCTACCTCACTATCCTTTCGATCGCCATCCATTCATTCCCAGCTCGCGATCGCGGCAGTCTTGCCGAACGCGACCCTGAAATCTGATAGTGATAGTGCGAGGCTGACCTTGACGAGTTTCTCTGCCAAGGTTTATTAGATAGATCGACGGTGTCCGTTATCAGCTGATTTGCCGGCGACTCTACGTTGGCGCCGTCGAGGTGAATGTATGAGAACGCAAGCGATTTCAGGCGATAACAACGATGCAAAGAAACGGTAAGTTGTATCTTGGGTCCACTATCACGGATCCACTATCACGGATTTATAGGCCGATAATCTGTTGATGATTGGTTAAAAATGTTTTGAAGCGCGGGAACTAAGTTTTACAATCAAATTAAGATAGGACTGTAAATCTTTCAATTTTTCAATTAATTTTCCTCGTACTTCGAGATTCTTTAATAAGTTTTTTTCACTCTTCTAGAGTCTGAAACAAAAAAAGGAAATAAATTGGAGTTTGAGTTTGTTATTTAGTAATTGTCATATTTATTTTAATTTGTTCGTGGAAAGATTTACTAAGAAAAGCAAATCACAGTATAACACTAATTATGTAATAACGCAAGCATACACGTAATGCTAACACGATAACAATAATTAGGACTTCAGTGATAGTTGTTTAGCGCACAATGAAAAGAAAGCGCGGCGATATATACAGAGAGCTCCGAGCGATTGAACAACTTCTCTGTCTTTCTTGTGAGATTTTTGATCGAGAAAGTAATTGCATTTGACAGAGTTGCGATTTCTTCAATCTCATGAAAATCGCCGCGTTTTTATCTCTCGCGAGCTTCTGGATTCGCATTTTTATGCAATCAAAAAAAAGATTGTAAAAATTTCTTTGACATAATTTTTAATTTTACATCTGTTGTGCGTAAAATTTAAAAATACGAGAAGTTTCAATTGAAATAAACATGCTCAAGTTATACACAGTGAAGACTAAAACATTTAGTATTCTCGAAGGATTAAATGAACGATTAAATGTAACGGCTCTTGGTGTTCAACCCTAGGCAAACTTCAGACGCGTAATTACAAACGATCATTTTACCGTCTCTTCACCAAAACGGAGATTAATAATTAATCTCGAACTTGGATGGATTTGATTCGGTAGCCATGAGAAGACGAAGAAGCGACTGATACCACGACGGAAAATCATATCAGTGTAGAGAATGGAAGAGGCATCCTCGAGAATTCGTCCTTATCTGGACTGGGATGTAAGCAAAACATTATTGATTTCCGGTTTCATGCGATACATTCGCTCGTCAAATATTCAACAGACTCAAATAATCAATCTCACGCGACCATGTTTGAGCGCAATTACGCAAGTGAAACTTATTTCTTTTATTTTACAAACGTATCGTAGAAGTGCTGGGAAAATCAATCGAAATTCGACGAAATCTTTATTCTGGAAGAATAAATCGTTGTTCGATCGTTAAAAATCGCAATGCCAGCACGCCTATTCGGTAACTCCTAACGGCAATGTCGTTATCGTTACGCGTCGTTGCGCGACACGTTATATCTACGTAACGACGCGTAACGAATACGTTGTTGCCGTTAGAAAGTTACGGAATAAGCGTGCAGAGTAGATGTTTACCTGCGACATTTCTTCAAATGCCCATACTGCCAGCTCAAGTATATTATTTTGGCTGAATTTTCTTTTACACGTTTTAAGTCACGTCATTTAATATGTTTGAAAAAGTATCAAATTATAACTTACATGTCTTAAACGTACTGTATGATGTAATTTAAAGTGATAAGAAGTGTAAGGAGAGCTTCAACCAAATTACACGGTTACGCGTTTAAGAATAGTCCAGTTGGATTTGCAAGGCATTGTCGAAAAACCGATTTTTAGACTTAGTTTTTTATGGCGTAATTGTGTACATCCGAACATCCTCACGTTAATGTATACTGGTTTTCAAAACTACTAAAATCTCTTCTTTGATGTAATTTGAAATGCAGCCTATAGCTCAATAAAAGAACATAACTTTTGGGAATTAATCAAAGAAAGTTTGGATCATCTCACTTCATTGGACCTCATTGGACCATCGGCTGCGCTTCAAAACGCACTGAAAAGAAAGTGTTCAAACCGTTTTGAGAACAAAATACATCCTAAATAGCACAGAAAATTCAAAAAGAATTCAATCGTATGTCACCATTTTTGAGTTCATTTTTAGATGCAAAAAGAATTTTTTTACCAAACTGAACTCTTTTTGCATCTGAAAATGAACTCAGAATTGGTGACATACGACTGTATTTTTTTTAATTTTTTCTTAATTTTTTGTGCTATCTAGGATGTGTTTTCAAAATGAAAATTGTCTTACATTGCGAAATGGAGATCGTATCAGTTCGACGAATATTTGTCGAATCTTATGTATCGTACGTCGTGTTGTAAAATTATTTAAACAAGATCGCGACATCGAAGAAACGAGGGAGATATCGGTGTTGAATTTTTGATAGAATGAGGACAAATACTCAGTGGCGAATAGTCAGGCGCCTTTGCAAGGTGGCGAGGACGACCACCCGGAACGCGGGACATGGACGGGAAAATTCGATTTTCTGTTGTCTCTTCTGGGATACAGCGTAGGCCTCGGGAATGTCTGGAGGTTTCCATATCTTTGTTATTCCAACGGCGGCGGAGCTTTCTTGATACCGTTCACCGTGATGTTGATCATCGCCGGATTGCCGCTCATGTTTATGGAGCTTTCCTTAGGTAATTAGCGGCATTAGCGAGACGACACCGATATCGAGCATTTGCAATTAGGATGTCTCTTTATTTCGCAGGACAATACGCCAGTCTTGGCCCGGTGGCGGCTTACAAGCGCTTTTGCCCTTTGCTCCGTGGCTTGGGATATGGAATGGTTCTCGTTAGCTCCGTTGTCATGCTCTATTATAATTTAATCATCGCATGGACGTTGTATTACATATATGCATCGATCTTTGGTAAATAATTATTATCAATTAGATATTCAATCATTACGAATTAATTTTAGCCGATAATTAAATATAATATTAACGAGATATACAGTCTGGAGCGATATAAAATGGATTACACGAAGAGAAAAACGTGTAAGAGCCAAAGCACAGGTTTAATAGTGCGATTGTGCTTATTACAAAGAAGAAAGAACTAAATTCAAAAAATATACGTTTGGACCCGATTTAGGATCTTTCTTCTTTGTAACAATCGCATTATTAAATCTTTGGTTCTTACACGCCTTTATTAGACCTTTATTAGCCATATTAGACTAATCTTTTTAATACGATATAAAACGGATAATTTCCCACGTATGACTGAGAAAATCTTGGCGATGTATCGTCGATATTATTATCCTGCTGAAAGAAATTATTCGCAACCAACATCCTTGTTAACATGCTCTTATGGATCAGAATTACTTATTAATGATATAAAATCGTCTGTACACAAGTTGTTAAGATCAATTGTAAAATTATTGTCACGAAGACTTTACGAGGTACGCACTGCCCTTATAGAAATATACTAAGAATCATTGATAATTACTTATTTTCAGTATTAAAAATACTGGATAATAAGTAATTATCAATAATTTTTAGTATGATATATATATATATATATATATATATATATATATATATATATATATTTCTATAAGGGTGGTGTACTGTTATACGTGCAATTTTAGTTTTAAATTTGAATGAGATGCACTTTGGAAAGTAATGGAACGTAGCACGCTTGTGTAGAGCGCAATTTGCGGAACTTTTCTATTTATTGCACGCGAAAAGCTATAAATACGAAAGTGCGCGTAAATGCGCAGCACCGTTTGAGACCGCGGAGAGTCGTTGAAAACGGCCGCCTCTGCTTTTTACGGGAAGCATATTAAAATTCTAGTTTGGAACAGGTGGTTGGGAACTACCCTGGAGCAAGTGCGACAAGGAATGGAGCACCGAGGATTGCTTCACGCCAGACGCTGCCGAGGTTTGTGCCTATCTAAACGTTTCTTACTTCAAAGGAAGATGTCTAAATGCGACGCAAATGACCGCGATGGGCCTGACTATCGAAAGCATAGCGAACGCCATCAAGAGACCGCCGGCCGAGGAATATTTCAAGTAATGTTATATAAGCTGTATATAAATTATCGTGTTTATTTCTTAACATTTTTTCGGGTTCAGTCATCGGACTTATCATCGCGAGAATCGTCCACTCATTAATTTAACTCCACCTTCATGATCCAGCTGTATTTTCTTTCATTGCGCGACGATTATGTTTCGAAACGTCAAGAGATTTCTGTTTCGCGAAGGTATCCATTTTGTCTTGAATTATGTTGCTTAACTTAAGAATGCTAATTAGAAGAAGTAAAAAGTGTATGGAGGAAATTTCTCTGCACGTTTAGCAATTATGTTCTGAGGATCAGTAGCGGAATTGAGGAAACCGGATCGATTCGACCGTCCATGGCAATATTCCTTTTTCTGGCATGGACAATCGTTTTCCTCTGCCTGAGCAAAGGTGTTAAGAGCTCTGGCAAAGTTGTATATTTCACCGCACTCTTCCCGTACGTCGTTCTGGTGCGTCAATTATGACAATTAATGATCAATGTTAAATTGAGTTAATAACAATGTGTAATAATCGACATTACGACACTAATATTTCCGTTTCGACAAATGTAATACTGCATTTATAAAATATATATTTTTCTTTTTTTTTACGGAAAACGTACATGAAAATTCGACATGTTTTCATGAAGTAAACGTCTCTTTCGCAGGTCGCACTTTTTGTCCGAGGTATTTTACTTCCTGGCGCCACTGAGGGAATACTTTTCTATCTGACTCCCGACTGGAAGAGATTGATGTCCGCGAAAGTGTGGGGAGACGCTGCTGTGCAAATCTTCTTCGCCCTCAGTCCAGCCTGGGGAGGCCTGATCACCCTCAGCTCGTACAACAAATTCACCAACAATTGCTACAAGGATTCTCTGATTGTCGCAATCAGCAACATCGGAACGTCCTTCTTCGCAGGGCTGGTGATTTTTTCGGTGATCGGCTTTCTCGCATATGAGCTCGACGTGCCAGTGGCGTCAGTGGTGGATCAAGGAGCTGGTTTGGCGTTCATCGTTTATCCAGAGGTGAGCGCTAATTATTTGTAGCTTGAAGTAAACCTATCTAAAGATAGGTTATAAGGTTATTATAAGGTTACTTATATAAAATAGCTTACAAGTAAACCTATCTAAAAGATACGTTCCGATTTCTTTCTAATTTGCCACAAATGTAGAAGTAACAAAAAATATTCAGTCATATTTTTTTCATTTTGGCCTACTTTGAGTTTCACGAACAGTTTATAGCTTTTTAATGTTCTCACTCTTATCATCAACAAAAATGCAGAAATAAAATTGAATACAAGATATAGTTAAATAATTTTAACAAAATCGGTATAGCGGAGATATGAACCATTTCTCCGCTAAATTTCTTTAGCTAAGATTCCAACCGAAATATTTTAAATCTGTGCTAAATTAGTCAAAAATGGTTCGAATCTCGACCAAACCGAGAAATTACTTGTATAAATAATTTTTTTTCAACTTTTTACATGTTTTGTTTAAACATTTTATTATTTATACAAATAATTTTACACATTTCACTTCATATTCATAATCAGCAAACCAAAAATATTTATATCTTGTATTCAATTTTATTTCTTATGCATTTTTGTTACATTTGTTGATGATAGGAGTGAAAACATTAAAAAGCTATAAACTGCTCGTGAAATTCAAAGTGGGTCAAAATGAAAAAATATGACTTAAATATTTTTTGTACTTCTACATTTGTGCCGAATTAGAAAGAAATCGGAGTGTAACTTTTGGGTAGGTTTACTTGTTAAAACTTTTAGATTTTTCTCATATGTTTCGGTTTTTTTTAAAATTAGACTTGATCTATCGACTGGTTTCATTGATATGAGATGATAAGATTATGCTACGAGTAAAGTAAAAGAAAAAATCAGATAAGAGAGACTTAACAATATATCCTGTGTTAAATATAGGTAAGATATAGATGATAAGGTTCTCTTTAGATATCGAATTCGTCTGAAGTAGATTTTACAATTTCTAAAATTGATTCATTCGTATTCTGAATGCATAGTATCCATATATTGAGAGAATTTAATTAGACGAGATAAATGTGACAACATTCAACTTCACGTGAAAGTTAAAGTTTACGCAGATATAAAAGTCTCATGATTATCGAAAAGCAATCTTAGCGTGACTATTGACAGGTCGTGGCTCGTCTGCCGGTCGCATCCGTCTGGTCGCTACTTTTTTTCATCATGCTGCTCACATTGGGTCTCGATTCTCAATTTGCACTCATGGAAACGGTCACTACGGCGATACTCGACGGCATCCCCGCACTGAGAAGTTATAAAATCTGGGTCGTTTTGGGAGTTGCGGTGGTCGGCTACGCTGGTGGCATCATTTTCACCACGAACGTAAGTTTCACATCAAATCGCCGTCACGTCTTCTCCGAAGAAACCGAAGAAATTTAAACAGCTCAACTTTTAGAGTTCAGATTCGAGAGTAGAAGTAAATAACTTAAACAATATTCTAAAGTATACGACTTATTCTTTTTGAATTATGAAATATGTGTAAGCTCATTTTTTTTCTTTTCACATTGATCTATAAGCATAGCAACTGAGTTATTAATTTTTCGTTAAATCTGGTTTACGTTACTTTCGAAATAAATGACATCGATTACACAGTGTAACCTCTTGAAGTCCCTCGAAAATTTGACTTAATTCGATCGATACCTTCTTTGTGGTGTTGTAACATTTATGTCAAACAATTATGTTGTATGATATGTCTTTTTTTTACAGGCCGGAATGTACTGGTTGCAGCTGATGGACAAGTACGCGGCCAACTGGTCGGTTTTGTTGATCGCCATAAGTGAATGTATTTTGGTGGCGTGGGTATACGGAGCGAATCGGTTCCTGGATGACGTCCAACAGATGATCGGACCCCGCGGCCGTCTCTGGCGATTCTTCTGGACATGGATGTGGAAGGTCATCACACCCGCTGCGCTCTTCTTTATCCTTTGTTTCAACTGGGTGGAATACGAGCCGCTTAAATACGGGACTTACATCTATCCGAAATGGGCGGACGTGTTGGGATGGGTCATTAGTATGCTTCCGGTTTTAGTCATTGTCGGACTAGCTATAGTAAGATGTCTCACTTTTATAAACTCTAATAATTCTCTAGTGATTATCCAAAATATTTTAATTAAATACAAATAAAATGAAGTTAGAATATCAAATCGAATCTGATACTTATAAATAATAGTATGTTATTGTTGCTCCTTTTATCTACTTCTTTATAGAATTCTTTATAGTTTTATCTATTTCGATTTTTAACATTTCTTGAATTCGAAACATTCTTGAACTAAAATTTCAAAGAAAAATTGGAACGAATCCCTTGTTTGAAATATAGAATCAGCTGAAGAAACATCGTCGACGATCATCCTACGACGATGATGACGAAGATGACGAGGACGACGATGACGACGAATTAGATAACGACGATTCTTGTCAAAGAAGAAATAAAGAAAAAAGTAAAGGAAAGGATAAGAACGTGTGGGATTGTGTGAAAATACTGTTACAGCCAACATCCAACTGGGGTCCAGCGTCGAGAAATTCTTTGACACTATCCAGAACTCTGGCTACACCTTCGCCAGGTAAAGAATCTTCTGTTATTTCAAATAAGATAAAGTATTAAATATACAGTAGTAAATAGTTGGATAAATTACGATTATATATACTGTTTATTGTTTCACAGGATGCACTGCATACGACTCGGTGCGAGACACGATTGTCCTGGTGAACGGCCAACCAATGATGGTGCAACCGTCCAACACTATCGCCACCACACAGAAACTTCCTGGGCCGTCAATCTTGAAGAATTCCAGCAAGACCGATTTGATCACCTCGCAACAAGTGTGACACGACGTTCGTTTTACGTCCAATGATGATTCCTCGGAGGAATCGTTTTCGAGATAAAACAACTGATGTAAGGTAAACCTACCTGCAGAATGAACAAGTATTTTTTCCCGATAACATCGACAGCTTCGCATCTTTAAACGCGACTGCTGTGAAATAACGAAGATACTTTGTTGTACAATTTGACTCGACTTTCCATGCGAAGTTTTAAGTTGGAGAGTTTCGTGAATTATCCTATCGGCGATTATATAATTTTTATCGGATTTTGTTTCTATTATCGCGCGGTTGCTTAAGAAAAGATGAAAAAATGAGCCTGCCATCAACTAGTGCAGAATACCAACACTTAGAAAATCATTGTTTTACAATGTAGCACTCAAGATTGCAGGATTTTCATAAAAGACATACATAAAAGAAGGACTGGAAGTATTCTTCAGCGATTTTGATGAGCTTTGGATTATCGCGTATGTAAAGAAGCGAAAATAAAAGATATATATCTGTTTATAAGTAAAGATATGAGAACATATAAAAAATTCTCTTATTTTTGATTCTCTACAATGTAAGGCTTATCAAAATCGGTGAGGGACGCTCTGTCGGACTTTCCCTTGTAAGTAATACCATCGCGTTCTTCCACATTGATCAAACAACCGCTTCAATTTGATGGTAATATATATGTGTGTACCTTAATCAAACGTTAATATTAGAACCCTAAAGGCCAAAAAATGTTAGATTAATCTATTTAAAATCGTTAGTAGTTGAAAGGAATTGAGAGAGAATAATGTGAAACAGTACGAGCACAGTATTATATTTTCTTAAGAATAACGATATCTCATCACGATATTTCGATATTTATATGCTCGAAATATTATTTCCTCAAAATAGTATATCAATAATTGTTTTACAATAGGCAAATATTTATTTTTAGAGACTGTTAATTATTTTTATTACTATGAAAAGAGATAGAAGTCTGTATAGATTATTGCATGAAAATGAATTTATCACACAAATTTAGTAAATAGAAAAAAAGGAAGTTCATGGCGATAGAAAAACAAACAAAATGAAGACAAAGAAGCCAAATTAACAAATTCAACGTATACTAATCTTTTTTTTGCAATGTATATTTCGTTGAAAGTCTTCAATGTTACTGATATCGTAGTGATGGAATTGATTTATTTACTACTAATTACTTGCCTACTAATATTAATATATATTAATACCTGCATATTAAGTTTTAAAATTGGATATTACGCAAATAAAATAAATATTCATAACATTGATAACATACAATGTTATTAATTGATGCAAACATCAAATATCGCTGATCAAAATATTAAATATCAAAGTAAGATTAATTTATTTTTTACATACTTTAATTTTTCTCTTTCTTTCTTTTATGACTATTATTTATAAAACACAAAATAGGCTTTTAATGACTAATAGAGAATTAAAAAATAATAGAGGCATTTGATGACATACCAAACATGTGATTTTATGTCTCAAATAATCGATACCTTTCAATATCTGTTAAATAAAATAAAAAACATTAATAAGTCTTTCAAAAAAAAAGTAAGCATAAATATGATCTAGAAATTATCGATACAAATCAATGGCAAGTATAAAGATATCAATACTATTAATTATAATTTTAATCCCATCGCTACGATACGTGTCTTTTTGATGTGTGTATAGACTTTCAACGAATAGATTACGTACATTGAATATGTGTACAAAATTATGACTACCAGAAGAAAAGTAGACAAAGAGAAACAAGAAACACATTTATAATTAATAAATTCGAGGAAGTGAATAGCTTAGACTTTCACGAACGAGTATACGTAATAGTCAATAACAAAAGAGATCGCGATTGTTTATTTTTTATTGCGAAATACTTCTCAAATAACATTACGAGTGATAACTCAGCGGAAAATTTGATCTCAACTTATCACAGTTACGATTCAAAAACTACTGATGCCTTGACAGTTTTTTCAAGAAAAGTTTACCGATTTCAAATAAATCGGAGAATATTAAAACAAAGAGAGTGGCCTTAGTTTTGAAAGAGAGTTTGCAGTGTTTGCAGTATATATATATGAATATCAATATACCAATTATCCAAAGTGTGTCTTGCTCGGAATAGCCTTCGCTGTTTAACTCTTTATCACACGATACGCCGCAAATTAGTTTTCTAATCTTCATTGGTACCTTCTCTGTGATTGAGAGACCTTCTCATATCCAGAAATATTGGGCACGTCAAGATTCAAAACCTCATTTGAATCTGACGAACTAAGCGAACCATAAAGCGCTTAACATCGCCTGTGAATTGACAGTAGATGAATCAGAGATCAAAATCCTTCGTTAGCGATTGAAACTAAAGATAATTAAAAAAAAAATTATGAATCTCTCTTATAAAAGTTTTAGTAGCAAAAACGAAAGTAAACACTTGAGTAACTTCAAAACTAGAAATCAAAATCTGTGAGATGATTTTATCGGAACCGTTGTTCCGCGTGATCAAGAGCGAGATGGAAAATGGAAGAAGGAAATGAAAGAAAGAAAACGGAACACGCGTTTGACAAGTTTTATTCGTGAATTTTCGGCCGAGTACATTACATCATGAAAGTGCCGTTAGATTTACGATTGCTTTCCTCTCGGACGATTTCCCATCATGCCAGTTAAATGTTCAGTAATGTTAATGTTGATAGATTACACAAGTGTTATCTAATGTGTGGCGCGGCCTCACTAATGATTGTATAAAGGTATATAGCTCGCCGTGCAGAATAATGATAACTGCTATAATGTTAATCATTGGTTCACAATACCGGCCAAGTCAAATGGTTGACTGTCTTAACAATAAGTAGAATTAAGAGCGACGATGTAGTACGAACGGGTAACAGCACTACGATAACGCAGCAGTTAACAATAACGATCTCATATTTGCTCGAAAACTTTTAATTAGCATCGCGCACGATCCCTTGTAGAAATGAATTATGGAAAATGTGTAAGCTGTAGCAAATCTTTTTTGACAACTATTAATTTAGAGATTGATGATAAACTGAGATCAATAACGACGATGATCACTAACTAGAAGAATTCGTAATTTTGTAAATTAGCAGCTCGTTAACTCTTTTTACATCTTACATAGAGAAATGAGTGCGCAGTCAAACTTAAGTGAAAAAATGCGACGCATAACTTTCCGTACTGTGTCCAATTAATGTTGCAATTAAAAGTAATAAACCCTTGCAAACGGTTGTGTTAGTTATAATTGTGTCAAGCACTTAATAAAAAGCTAACTGCAATTATCGTATGGTGTTACAGTCTTGACGTCACTACGAGTAACTAGTAGAGTGAACAGTACAAAGTAACATGTCCTAGTAAGTAAAACGACGGTATAATAAGAAACTTCCTGTTAAGAGAAGCTTCTTTTCTTCATAGTAAGAAGAAAGAAGCTTTTGCTTAAGGTAATTCGGAGGGTTAAATTCGCAAGAAGGGAAACACGTTTTTCTGAACATGCGTACAGAAGATTTGATTATATTGTCAGGATAAGAAGCAGTTTTATTGTAGAACTGATGTATTAACGTAGAACAATTGGACACATGCTAAACCATATGCAATCAAGACACAATAATGCCTTGAGTGAACAAATACTCATACATACATACACGCACACACGCACAAACATGCACACATCACAGATTAGGAAAGTCGCAGCAAAAATAGAAAGAGAGAGAAAGACAAATAAGAATAGTTATATCATGTACACGTCCTAAATAAATAAATGAGGATATATGTATGCGTGTGTTTACATATTGTTGCGTAATCTTAAGTAGTCCTCGTGCAAACAAGAAGAAAAGGCTGGACCTGCGAAAATTATTAACGGCAATTCAACAACAAGACGTTGATTTGCATGTTAACATGTATATGTATAAGAGTTTATCTTAAATATAGATGATATGTATGAGGTATAAAAATACCAAATAAATACATTGAGTTATGTTGTATATGTACATTGCATTATGAAAAAAAATAGAA